AGTACTACATTGTTGCCAAGATTTTTAGGAAGATCTCTCCACTTCCTGATGCTTTCCACTACACCCCCATCATAAAGGAAGGAAGGAAGGAAAGAAAGGAAGAGAAGAGGAGAAGAAAGGAAGGAAGGCAGGCAGGCAGGAAGTTTTTCCTTCAGGTTAAAAATTACTACCCTTTACAAAATCACTATAAACAAGGCCTTCATTGATAAATTTTCCAGCTACTGTCAGTGTTCACGTACTTTAAATCTTTTTTTGAAGTAGCAGGGTATACATTATCAAAAAATTATAAATCAGACTTGCACTGCACTTATAAGTTGCAGTAACCAAATTTATAGTGATGGAAACAGAAACCTTATATCACAGCTATCTCCATAACAAAAGCGAGCATTCATACAGTGCCTTCTATGTGCTAGACAACGCTCGACATATTTACTATGTATTAACTCATTTAGTCCCTACAACAGCACTATGGGACAGCTGTACTAATATTATCCTCCTTTTTACTCGATGAGGAAACCAAGGTACAGAGAAGTTCAGTAAGGAGCCCAATGTTACAAATCCAGGAAGTGATGGAACCAGGATTCAAGCCCAGGCAATTCTGCTTCAGAGTCTGGGTCCCCAGTCACTGTACTGGTAGCCTGTCTGTCTTCGATTATTGGACTACAGAGAACACTCACACAGACAGAAAACACACAAATAGAACAGTGCCCCTTGCTCCTAGCACTTCTCTATTAATCCTATCCCTGTATTCATTGGGAAAAAAAATAGCTGTGTGGGAGGGGTGTACGGGAAGAACCTACAGACCTGAGGATTATACCTGGCTTGGTTTGGTTCTTTCTTTTGTCCATGTGTTGTTTGCTGCTATAGCAAGAAGTCCTGCTGGGCTCACTTCAGAACTCACTGAACTGGGGGGGAAGGGAGGGGCTCCGCTGTGGGGAAGGAAAGGAAGGTGTTTCTGGGATCTGGGTGCTTATGACTCTCAGCGGGGGACAGGCTCTTCAGTATTTTCAGCTCAGGGCCTTTTCATCTCCCTAATGGGCACCAGCACCTGCTAGCGAAGCAGTCAGCTTGCCTGTGGGGAGAAAAAGGACGGGATGAATGAATGCTCTGTGCTTTGTTTGGGGGAGAGAAGAAGAGCCCAACCCTTGATGGATGCCTAGGGCAAAGATCTGAGAAGAGGGGCTGTGATACTGAGTGGGCCAGCACCAGTGTCTCTGCAACGAGAGCCCCCTAAAGACAATGGGTAACCCGAGACCAACAGGGCCCCTTTCCCAGTGAAGAGCTCTATGGCAAAGCTGGCCCGTGGAACCACCCACAAACCTAGACCGAGGCCTGGGGCAGCAGCCTGAGAGCTCAGAGGCCCTGGCCTCTCATGGGTGGAGGTCTCCTGGGCTTCATGGCAAGGGGCCCCATCACACAGGTCTGGACCCCTTGACACTTACCAGTGTAGCTAGACTCTGGTAAAACTGAAAAGAAGAAAGGTTTTATTCAATGCCCTCAGTTTTGGATGTTTCTCCAACAGGTTTCCAGGATAAAATATTTTTTTCTTTTTTTTTTTACATGTGTTCTCCATCCTGAACCCCCCTCCCACCTCCCTCCCCATCCCATTCCCTCTGGGTCATCCCAGTGCATGCAGGAGAGACTGTTCCAGCAATTATTCCTGGAAGTCAGTGAGTTCTCCAGCCATATGAAATTGAGAGAGGAGGGGGAGGGGGATCAGGCAAATAAGGGTTTTTACTCAGATTTTCTCTATTCCTACCCTAGCAAAGTGATCTGAGAAAGAACAATAGCTTTTTCTCTTTAAGTGTTTCTGAGGTTTTGAATTTGGCAGGGTCCTTTCTGCCTGAGTTGTATGCACTTTTTCTGCATTTCCTCTTCATGGGGTTAAAGACTCTGCCCCCATTAAGGGGATATGAAGCAAGGGGAAAATGTGGGGAATGAGGGAGCCCACTGAGCCCACGAAGGGGGTGCCCTGTCTCTGCCCTTGGCAGAAGTGCCTGCTTCCACCAAGCTGGACCCAGGGCTCTCTTTGCCTCATTGCTTTGCCTGCTTAAGGGTGATTGGCTGATTTGATTAGTTGACACACTAGTGTCCCTGGGAAATTCTAAGTGATGCAAACAAGCATGAAAGGAAACACAGTACAAGCTGAGGTTTCTATGTACCCAGGCTAGAGGACAGCTCTGCTTTCATGCATCAGTTCCCCTGGGTTGGTAATTAATGCTGGGGTCTTGTCAGAGCGGAGGCCAAGTCCAGAGATTCCTTGGAGAGTCTTCTATAGAACAGGATTGGTTGTGAGCTACTTGACTCACAGCCTTTGATGATACGTATCTGCGGGGGATGGACTGCACCATTCTAGCCATGGCAGCAACCCAAGTAGAAAGTGGCCATCACTGAGGAAGAGTCAATTCAGAGCTCCCTGGGTTCTAACCAGAAAGGTGGCATTTGTGGCAGATGAGGTTTCAGAGAATGATAACAGAAGACATTTCTTTTTGAGACAGATTGAGGAAGACACATTATGTATGTGTTTAAATATTGTAATTTGAATACATGGCCTTTGGCAATAACTATTGGATTGGCTTAATCAGTTACCTATGGTGTGTGTGTGTATGTGTATGTGTAAGTACGACTAGGGTGCACCTGCCAGAGACCCCCATTTCTATCCTCTTCTTGAGGAATTTGTCCTTCCATGGACCCTAGAAGGAGCAGTCAATCTACCTTGTTTATATGGGTGATTGGACCACAGTGTTCAACAACTCAGGGTTCACTAGGTCATTGTTGGGGCTTTGCCTGTCATATTTTCTCTTTTTTTTCCCTCTCTCAAAACATTGACCTAAGAGACATGGAGGTGGTCCAATGACAATGGTTATGTCAAATCAAGACAGGGGAAGTGTGCCAATGAGTAGGTGGAAAGGCAAAGAGAAGCTGGAAACAGTAGCAGACACACAGAGGTGAGCCGGAAGCCCCAGGAGAGAGGCAGGGACAGCTTAAGATGCCAGCACCCCAGCTTCACTCCAAGGGATGTAGAGAGTCTTCATTGCCAGCCTCTGTTATCTGGAGGTTGTGTGTTGAATCCTTATGTCCTGACAGTGAAAGTGAAAATGATGTCGCTCAGTTGTGACCCCATGGGGTCTGTGACCCCATGGTCAACTCTGTGACCCCATGGACTGTAGCCTACCAGGTTCCTCCATCCATGGGATTTTCCAGGCAAGAATACTGGAGTGGGTTGCCATTTCCTTCTCCAGGAGATCTTCCCAACCCAGGGATTGAACACCTGGGTTCAATTGTAGGCAGACGCTTTACCATCTGAACCCCTGTTAAACTCAACTAGTCTGAGTAGCTTCTGTTCCTTGCAACTAAATAGTCCCTAAGACAATGTGATTGGGCAAGATGAGGGAATAGATGTCTAAGACCCCCAAAGATAAGCATATTGCAAAGAGAGTTGTCAGGATGTCTGTGATTTACTTTGAAATACTTCAGCAAGTAGGGTCAGTCATATTGTGTGTGTGCTGGTTCGTTTAAGCTTTAAGCTTCTACTCTAAGGACCAGCAGTTGCTCTAATGGAAAATTCCACTCCAGAATAATCAGCTAGGATTTTATCAGAAAAGCCACATTCCAGAAGCCACTACCTTGAATGCTTCTGTGATCGTGTCTCACTGACTACTTATGGCTTTGTTCATTAGCATAGTGAATGTGAGGAATGGATTTTTATTGTTGAAATTAGTTCATTGTTAGTAAGATGAACATTAGAAGTGGACTCCTGTTGGTGAAATTAAAGATATTCAAGATGGGTGGATTGGCTAAAATAGTATTGCTATGTACCATTCTTCCCTGTTTTGTGAGCAGCATGGCTCATGGCCACAAAGACATGTGGCCCAGTAAGGGCTCACTGCCTGGCTATAGGTGGTACAGTCAGCAGATTCTGTCAGCCACCCACACCCTCACTTGTGGAGAGCCTTCATGCCCAAAGCCACTCTTCCTGGGGCAGCCCTGATCCAGTGACCGAGATAGGTGGGGGATAAAGCCCCAGCCATTCTGACCAAATGCCAGATAGCCCTGACGGGCAATCATCAGTCCTGAGCTCAGCACTGGTTGGTTGCGGCCTCATGGGATGTTCATTGTTGTTCAACTTTTCCCTCTGTCTAGTCTTCCTTTTTTTTGGAAAAATTATTTATTTTTTAAAATCTTAATTGGAGTATAATTGCTTTACAATGTTGTGTGAAGTGATATGCAGTTTCTGCTGTATAGCAAAGTAAATCAGTTATCATATACATATATCCACTCTTTTTTAAGGTTTTTTTTTTCCCATCTAGGCCATTACAGAGTACTGAGTAGAGTTCCCTGTGCTATGCAGAAGGTCCTTATTAGTTATTTTATATATAGTAGCATATACACATCAATCCCAATGTCCCAATTTATCCACCCCATTTCCCCTCCTTTTTAAAAACATTTTTACTCAAATTCTTGTAACTGAAGCAGATTCGAACAGAGAAGTTATTATTAATAAGTAGATAATAATAATTATTAGGTTTATAGTATATTAAGTTATTAACATTGACTTAAGGCTAATAACTGTTTGGTTTGTAGCTTATAAATCTCCATCAATTTGGAAATAAATACCTAATTATATCATACTTTTGATAAATAGTAAGAGAAAATAAGGGTCAGTGAAGCTTGAATTGACATTCAATTATTAAACTTTTTTCTAAGCAGAACAAGCTGGTCATATATATTAACTGGTTGCATTCATTTCTGATGATGGATCCTTCCCATTCCTTTTATAGGGTTTGATCCCTAATAAACATTTGGCACCCTGAAGTCTGTCTCGGCCCCTGCTCCCAGAGAACCTGACTGATGACAAATAGGGAAGAGGACACCACCGAGATGGATGGCCCTGCATTAGGGTGCTGGGGCTGCCAGAACAAAGCACCACAGACTGGGCAGCTTCAGTGATACCTATTTACTGTCTCACGGTTCTGGAAGCTAGAAATCCAAAAATCAAGATGTTGGCAAGGTTGGCCCTTCTGAGGCCTGTGAGGGAGAGATCTGTTCCAGGCCTCTCCCTGGCTTGTAGAAGGCTGTCTTCTCCCTGTGTCTCTTCACACTATCTTTCCTCAATGCATATTTGTGTCTGTATCCAAAATTCTGTCTGCGACCTTACCAGGAACATCATTAGCATTCATATTTCTGGCAACATTCTGTTCATGATGATGTATGTGTTTTCTAAGACAATAGGAACTTTCCCTACAGCTCTTCTCTTTGAGTTCTTAACCAGAATCTCTTTTAATGTCCGTGTTTCTATTGGCAAGCCCTTCAAGGGACACAAAAATCCCTAGGCTTTTTGTGTCCTGCACTTCAAATCTGTCCGACCCCTACTTTTACCTAATTCCAAAGTCACTTCCACGTTTTTAGGCATTCTTTACCCCACTTCCTAGTACCAAAATCTCTATTGGCCAGGGCTCTCCAGAGAAACAGAATTAATAGGAGATACAGTGGTAGTGTTACTCTCTCAGTCAAACCCGACTCTTTGCAACCCCACGGACTGTAGCCCACGAGGCTCCACTGTCCGTGGGATTCTCCAGCCAAGAATACTGGAGGGGATTGCCATTCCCTTGTCCAGAAGATCTTCCAGACCCAGGGGTCAAACCCAGGTCTCCTGCATTGCAGGCAGATTCTTTACCAACTGAGATACAGGGAAGATCCTAATAGGAGATATATCTATGCACATAGATATCATATATATGTATATATATATATATATATGCTATATATATATATATAGATATACAACCTAGATAGTATATTAAAAAGCAGAGACATTACTTTGCCCACAAAGGTCTGTCTAGTCAAGGCTATGGTTTTTCCAGTGGTCATGTATGGATGTGAGAATTGGACTGTGAAGAAAGCTGAGCGCCGAAGAATTGATGCTTTTGAACTGTGGTGTTGGAGAAGACTCTTGAGAGTCCCTTGGACTGCAAGGAGATCCAACCAGTCCATCGTAAAGGAGATCAGTCCTGGGTGTTCATTGGAAGGACTGATGCTGAAGCTGAAACTCCAATACTTTGGCCACCTCATGCGAAGAGTTGACTCATTGGAAAAGACCCTGATGCTGGGAGGGATTGGGGGCAGGAGGAGAAGGGGACGACAGAGGATGAGATGGCTGGATGGCATCACCGACTCGATGGGCATGAGTTTGAGTAATCTCCAGGAGTTGGTGATGGACAGGGAGGCTTGGTGTGCTGCGATTCATGGGGTCACAAAGAGTCGGACACAACTGAGTGACTAAACTGAACTGAACTGATAGATAGATGTATCATATAGATAGATAGAGAAAAAGAGAGAGATTGAGATTTATTTTATGGAATTGACTCACTTGACTGTGGAGAGTAGCAAGTCCAAAGCCCAGAGGACTGGTTGGCAGACTAGTAATTCAAATAAGAATTATCATTGCAACTATTGAGTTAACTGGTGAATCTGAGGGCTGGAAACTCAGGCAGAATCTCTGGAGTCAGAATTTCTTCTTCAGTGGTGTGTCTCAGTCTTTGCTCTTAAGGCCTTCAGCTGATTGAATGAGGCCCACCCCCATTGTGGAGGGTAATTGGCTTTATTCAAAGTTTACTAATATAAGTGTTAATCACATCTTTTTTTAAAAAATGCCTTCATAATAACATCCAGACTGGTGTTTGACCAAGCAGCTGGGCACCATACCCAGCCAGGCCAATACATAAAATTAACCACCATAATGTACCCTTAGGGATGGTAACTGAGGCTTGATCCCAGGCAACCCAGCTACTGGGTCTTGTGAAGAGGAGCTCTGGCCACCTGCTGCTGAGTCTCAGTGTAACAGAAGCCTGCCTCTGGTGAGGTTATGCCTCTGTCTCAAGTGACCTTCACACGCGAGGTGACCGTAAGAGTTCCGAGGACAGAGGGCTGGGTCTCCACTGAGCTTACCAAACAGTTTGTGAAACTATTTGAACCTGTGAATAGAAATTGCTTAATAAATTTCTGTATGCATGACCAAATTTGGTGTAAGATTTGCTTCCTTTCCCAACTGGGAGCTTAGTTGTAGGGTAAATAGTTTACTCTCATTTACATCAATCTTCTTTTAATAGCTATTGTCAACTAGTAAGACCCCAAGAGCTGTGCATCCTGACCTGACTGACTCAGACCAGTTCATAATAATGGAGACACGTGGTTTCCTTTTAGCTCGGGGCCTCTCACATGACACCCCTCATTTCTTTCACGTCTGTCTGTTAAAATGTCAGTCCTTCCTATCAGCCTTCCTTGATGAATCAAACTCCATCAGTCAGTGGAAACAAACATACACACTCTCACACATGTCTGTCACTACAAATTCTGCCTTGCTGTTCTTATTAGCACTTATCAAACCTGAATTATATTTAGCAATGTGTTTATTTGTTTATTTGTTTTTATCCTCCTCCAGTATGTAAGATTCGTTAGGGCAGATACCACGCTCACTGCTATAAACCTAGAGCATGGAACCACATGGGCATATGTTAGAAGTTAATCATTAGGTGTTGGTTAAACACATGAATGGACCTTTGGGAAAAAAAAAATCTACCATTGGAAGGTGGCAGCCATGGAGTTCTGGGGGCTTTAAGGCACAAAATGAATCATTTAAAACAAGTGACTGGCTATCAGTCCTGTAACTCTGCCTTGCCACCCTCTTCCCTAGTCATTCTCATGCTCTTGAGCACCTGGATATCCAGTCTTTTACATAAGCTCACCTCAATTCAATTTCTAGTCCCTAAGAAACTGTTCATCTGACCAGTCCAACTATATGAAAAACTCAGCAGATGATGTTTCTACATCAGGTGATGTGTTTTGACTCTTCATGGGTCAGCTCATGTGCCTCAGCAGAGACACTGAAATACAGGGACAGGTTGCTAATTAGAAGGACAGGGCCTGGGGGTGGTGCTGGTTGCTAAGCCACAAGAATGTGATAAATAAATTGATAATGCAAACTAAACTCAGGAGGACATTTTCAGTCCACAAGGAAGGACACTGTTTTCAAATATTGCTCAAGTAGATAAGAAGCAACTGTTTATCTAGCCAAAACTTGATATGTCAAATACAAATCATTCTTCATTAAAGCAGTTCTCGTAAGTTTCTTTACCAGGCAGCAGGTTGCTAGTCAGGTTGTAGCACTTATTTGCAAAAAAAAGAAAAGATGTATGTCTAACTAGATCACTCCTCCCAGAAATGGTTTGAATAAAGTTTTCATTTTCAGCACCAACAAAAATAGCAACATATGTAACCCAACTGAGCTTCCCAGGTGGCTCAGTGGTAAAGAATCCACCTGTCAAACAGGAGAGGCAGGTTCAATCCCTAGGTTAGGAAGATCCCCTGGAGAAAGAGATGGCAACCCACTCCTGTATTCTTGCCTGGGAAATCCCATGGACAGAGGAGTAGTGATGATGGTGGTAGTGATGGAGGTGGTGGTGGTGGTGATGATGGTGGTGGTGATGGTAGTAATGGTGATGGTGGTGGTGATGGTAGTGATAATGGTGATGGTGGTATTATAGTAGTGATGGAGGTGGTGGTGGTGATGGTAGTGCTGGTGATGGTGGTGGTGATAGTGATAATGGTGATGGTGGTATTATAGTAGTGATGGAGGTGGTGGTGGTGGTGATGGTAGTAATGGTGATGGTGGTGGTGATGGTAGTGATAATGGTGATGTATTATAGTAGTGATGGAGGTGGTGGTGGTGATGGTAGTGATAATGGTGATGGTGGTATTATAGTAGTGATGGAGGTGGTGGTGGTGATGGTAGTGCTGGTGGTGGAGGTGATGGTGATGGTAGTAATGGTGATGGTAGTAATGGTGATGGTGGTGGTGATGGTAGTGATAATGGTGATGGTGGTATTACAGTAGTGATGGAGGTGGTGGTGGTGATGGTAGTGCTGGTGCTGGTGGTGGTGGTGGTGGTGGTGATGGTGATGGTAGAGATGGTGGTAGCACTAACAGCTAATACCACTGGGCCTTTACTATGGACCACAGGCCCTGAGAAATGAACTGTTGAGGATCTCCCTCCCACCAGACATAGCTTTAGTCTTCTCATCTCCACAAGTTCAGGACTGTTGAGTGTGTTGGGATTGGCAGCTGTGAGGATTGACCTTCAGGTCTTCGTCTTTGTGAAGTTTAGCTTTGGAGAAATGTTGCCATCTAGTGCCCCACAGGAGTCTTAACTCTTTAAGCCAATAAACCAGCCTCCCTCTGCCTCATTCCACCCACCCTCCCAAATAAGAGGTCAGGTATACCCCAGTCCTGGTGAGCATTGTCCCCATACCTACAGTAGGAACCATGGGAATGTTTCCAGAATTTTTTTTTAAAAAATCACTTTTCCTGTATAAAATGTACAGAACAAGAGCTGGGCAGAGGCAAAGGAACAACAAGAGAATTAAAATGAATATTGAGATAATTTTACCATGTATAGCATATTAAATTCAGTGAGGAATAGGGGAAAGACATTAGGAGAGTTCTAGATACAACAGTGAAATAAGTGAAGGGAGTCATTGATCTGGCTTTCCCTTTTCTTTGGGTCTCCTCCCTTCTGAACCTCTCAGATTTTTCCAGGCTCACCTACCTATAAACCTTCCTACCCTCACCCACCTAAAGCCCCTCATCTGTTCTCTCAAGGTCGTATTCTTTCTTTCTGCAGTGGTGATAGTTGAGTTGCTAAGTCATGTCTGACTCTTGCGACCCCATGGACTATAGTCCACGAGGCCCCTCTGTCCATGGGATTTTCCAGACAAGAATACTGGACTGGGTTTCCATTCCTACTTCAGGGGAACTTCCTGACCCAGGGATCGAACCTGAGTCTCCTTCGTTGCAGGCAGATTCTTGGCCAACTGAGGCACTAAGAAGACTTTCTTTCTGCATTCAGTTCCGTTCAGTCGCTCAGTCGTGTCCGACTCTGCGACCGCATGGACTGCAGCATGTCAGGCCTCCCTGTCCATCACCAACTCCTGGAGCTTGCTCAAGCTCATGTCCCTTGAGTTGGTGATGCCATCCAACCGTCTCAGCCTCTGCCGCCCCCTTCTCCTCCTGCCTTCAGTCTTTCCCAGCATCAGGGTCTTTTCTAATGAGTCAGCTCTTCGCATCAGGTGGCAGTGACAGCAGCTAAATCCATCAGCTGCTGCTGCCCTTGTTTCTCGCCCTCTCCTGTCCAGTAAAAGAGGTATATTTTTAATGGAAACTTTCAATGACAATGATAATTAGCTATTCCACAGAGCACTCTGACGAGTGCTGGGGAGAAAAGACTCTAGAGTGATATTCGGGAAAGGGAGTGGAGACTGAGAAGCAGGGCCTATGA